TTGTCTCCCAGTGGAGATTACAGGACAGAAGAGGTCCCCAGTACTGTATGCTTGTCTCCCAGTGGGGATTACAGGACAGAAGAGGTCCCCAGTACCTCATGCTTGTCTCCCAGTGGGGATTACAGGACAGAATAGGTCCCCAGTACCTCATGCTTGTCTGTCAGTGGGTATTGCAGGACAGAAGAGGTCCCCAGTACCTCATGCTTGTCTCCCATTGGGGATTACAGGGCAGAATAGGTCCCCAGTACCTCATGCTTGTCTCCCAGTGGAGATTACAGGACAGAAGAGGTCCCCAGTACCTCATGCTTGTCTCCCTGTGGAGATTACAGGACAGAAAAGGTCCCCAGTACCTCATGCTTGTCTCCCTGTGGAAATCACAGGACAGAATAGGTCCCCAGTACCCCATGCTTGTCTCCCAGTGGGGATTACAGGACAGAATAGGTCCCCAGTACCTCATGCTTGTCTCCCAGTGGGGATTACAGGACAGAATAGGTCCCCAGTACCTCATGCTTGTCTCCCAGTGGGGATTACAGGACAGAATAGGTCCCCAGTACCTCATGCTTGTCTCCCAGTGGGGATTACAGGACAGAATAGGTCCCCTGTACCTCATGCTTGTCTCCCAGTGGGGATTACAGGACAGAATAGGTCCCCAGTACCTCATGCTTGTCTCCCAGTGGGGATTACAGGACAGAATAGGTCCCCAGTACCCCATGCTTGTCTCCCAGTGGGGATTACAGGACAGAATAGGTCCCCAGTACCTCATGCTTGTTTCCCAGTGGGGATTACAGGACAGAAAAGTTCCCCAGTACCTCATGCTTGTCTCCCAGTGGGGATTACAGGACAGAATAGGTCCCCAGTACCTCATGCTTGTCTCCCAGTGGAGATTACAGGACAGAATAGGTCCCCAGTACCTCATGCTTGTCTCCCTGCAGAAATCACAGGACAGAAAAGGTCCCCAGTACCCCATGCTTGTCTCCCAGTGGGGATTACAGGACAGAATAGGTCCCCAGTACCCCATGCTTGTCTCCCAGTGGAGATTACAGGACAGAATAGGTCCCCAGTACCTCATGCTTGTCTCCCAGTGGGGATTACAGGACAGAATAGGTCCCCAGTACCTCATGCTTGTCTCCCAGTGGGGATTACAGGACAGAATAGGTCCCCAGTACCTCATGCTTGTCTCCCAGTGGGGATTACAGGACAGAATAGGTCCCCAGTACCTCATGCTTGTCTCCCAGTGGGGATTACAGGACAGAATAGGTCCCCAGTACCTCATGCTTGTCTCCCAGTGGGGATTACAGGACAGAATAGGTCCCCAGTACCTCATGCTTGTCTCCCAGTTGGGATTACAGGACAGAATAGGTCCCCAGTACCTCATGCTTGTCTCCCAGTGGGGATTACAGGACAGAATAGGTCCCCAGTACCTCATGCTTGTCTCCCAGTGGAGATTACAGGACAGAATAGGTCCCCAGTACCTCATGCTTGTCTCCCAGTGGGGATTACAGGACAGAATAGGTCCCCAGTACCTCATGCTTGTCTCCCAGTGGGGATTACAGGACAGAATAGGTCCCCAGTACCTCATGCTTGTCTCCCAGTGGGGATTACAGGACAGAATAGGTCCCCAGTACCTCATGCTTGTCTCCCAGTGGGGATTACAGGACAGAATAGGTCCCCAGTACCTCATGCTTGTCTCCCAGTTGGGATTACAGGACAGAATAGGTCCCCAGTACCTCATGCTTGTCTCCCAGTGGGGATTACAGGACAGAATAGGTCCCCAGTACCTCATGCTTGTCTCCCAGTGGAGATTACAGGACAGAATAGGTCCCCAGTACCTCATGCTTGTCTCCCAGTGGGGATTACAGGACAGAATAGGTCCCCAGTACCTCATGCTTGTCTCCCAGTGGAGATTACAGGACAGAATAGGTCCCCAGTACCTCATGCTTGTCTCCCAGTGGGGATTACAGGACAGAAAAGTTCCCCAGTACCTCATGCTTGTCTCCCAGTGGGGATTACAGGACAGAATAGGTCCCCAGTACCTCATGCTTGTCTCCCAGTGGAGATTACAGGACAGAATAGGTCCCCAGTACCTCATGCTTGTCTCCCTGCAGAAATCACAGGACAGAAAAGGTCCCCAGTACCCCATGCTTGTCTCCCAGTGGGGATTACAGGACAGAATAGGTCCCCAGTACCCCATGCTTGTCTCCCAGTGGAGATTACAGGACAGAATAGGTCCCCAGTACCTCATGCTTGTCTCCCAGTGGGGATTACAGGACAGAATAGGTCCCCAGTACCTCATGCTTGTCTCCCAGTGGGGATTACAGGACAGAATAGGTCCCCAGTACCTCATGCTTGTCTCCCAGTGGGGATTACAGGACAGAATAGGTCCCCAGTACCTCATGCTTGTCTCCCAGTGGGGATTACAGGACAGAATAGGTCCCCAGTACCTCATGCTTGTCTCCCAGTGGGGATTACAGGACAGAATAGGTCCCCAGTACCTCATGCTTGTCTCCCAGTTGGGATTACAGGACAGAATAGGTCCCCAGTACCTCATGCTTGTCTCCCTGCAGAAATCACAGGACAGAATAGGTCCCCAGTACCCCATGCTTGTCTCCCTGTAGACATCACAGGACAGAATAGGTCCCCAGTAACTCATGCTTGTCTCCCAGTGGGGATTACAGGACAGAATAGGTCCCCAGTACCTCATGCTTGTCTCCCTTTAGAAATTACAGGGCAGAATAGGTCCCCAGTACCTCATGCTTGTCTCCCAGTGGAGATTACAGGACAGAAGAGGTCCCCAGTACCTCATGCTTGTCTCCCTGTGGAGATTACAGGACAGAAGAGGTCCCCAGTACCCCATGCTTGTCTCCCTATAGAAATCACAGGACAGAATAGGTCCCCAGTACCCCATGCTTGTCTCCCTGTGGGGATTACAGGACAGAATAGGTCCCCAGTACCTCATTCTTGTCTCCCTGTGGAAATCACAGGACAGAATAGGTCCCCAGTACCTCATGCTTGTCTCCCAGTTGGGATTACAGGACAGAATAGGTCCCCAGTACCTCATGCTTGTTTCCCAGTGGGGATTACAGGACAGAATAGGTCCCCAGTACCTCATGCTTGTCTCCCAGTGGGGATTACAGGACAGAATAGGTCCCCAGTACCTCATGCTTGTCTCCCAGTGGGGATTACAGGACAGAATAGGTCCCCAGTACCTCATGCTTGTCTCCTAGTGGGGATTACGGGACAGAATAGGTCCCCAGTACCTCATGCTTGTCTCCCAGTGGGGATTACAGGACAGAATAGGTCCCCAGTACCCCATTCTTGTCTCCCAGTGGGGATTACAGGACAGAATAGGTCCCCAGTACCTCATGCTTGTCTCCCAGTTGGGATTACAGGACAGAATAGGTCCCCAGTACCTCATGCTTGTCTCCCAGTGGGGATTACAGGACAGAATAGGTCCCCAGTACCTCATGCTTGTCTCCCTGTAGACATCACAGGACAGAATAGGTCCCCAGTACCTCATGCTTGTCTCCCAGTGGGGATTACAGGACAGAATAGGTCCCCAGTACCTCATGCTTGTCTCCCTTTAGAAATTACAGGGCAGAATAGGTCCCCAGTACCTCATGCTTGTCTCCCAGTGGAGATTACAGGACAGAAGAGGTCCCCAGTACCTCATGCTTGTCTCCCTGTAGACATCACAGGACAGAATAGGTCCCCAGTACTTCATGCTTGTCTCCCAGTGGGGATTACAGGACAGAATAGGTCCCCAGTACCTCATGCTTGTCTCCCTTTAGAAATTACAGGGCAGAATAGGTCCCCAGTACCTCATGCTTGTCTCCCAGTGGAGATTACAGGACAGAAGAGGTCCCCAGTACCTCATGCTTGTCTCCCTGTGGAGATTACAGGACAGAATAGGTCCCCAGTACCTCATTCTTGTCTATTTGGGTTAATGTGTTAATGTGGGTTAATAATAAATCGTATGGCAAACTATCGCAATACGGTGAGATGTATTGAGATGCATATTGCAATACCTATTGGGGCCCAAATTCTCTAATACATACTTGTATTGCGAGAGGGTAGTAACATACACCATATGGAATATTAATGTAAACAGCATGAAGCACTGGGATTTTGGCTGGAGATAACTGGTAGCTATTTTTGTAGCTACAGCTGCAAAACCAGATATTTTAAAAAAAATTAAAACTATGAGCATGCATATTTATTTTTTTAAAAGTCCTTGCAACAAGCTAATTTTTGTGGCAGACAAGTTTCTTTTTCTCAACAGTCTGATGGATAATTACTTTTTTCAAGAATTTTCTGGGACAATTTATTTTTTTCGATAAAATGCCAACCCCCTCGATTTGCGCTTGATTTGCCAGTTATATCGCACACCTTAATTATCTACCAGTGGGAATACGGGCAGAATAGGTTCCTAGTACCCCATGGGGCAGACTCAATTATAAAGTCAGACTCATCATCGGCATTACCGTATCCGACGTAATAAGCGTCCCGCTCTAATAAGCGCCCATGGCGATATTTGCTAATATATTTGCTAGTGAACAATCCCAATTAGCACCCCTTCCGATTGATCAATGTACACAAGACATATTTATTCTTGTATGATACGTGTGTTATATGCATCCTTAATTAGGGAAATTAAATTCTGGAAACATATATATATGTCGAATATAAACATTTCAGGTTGTCACCATAAACCACGAAATGTACGATCTTTCAACTCTGTTGTTTTTCACCAAAATAATATTCTAATAAGAGCCCTCATTTCTAAGTTTGAGAGCGCCCTGGGCGCTTATTTTGTCGAATATGCCCAAAAGTTTAGGTACCAGTAGAAACTTGCCATTTTTAGGATTTTGTCGTGTGTTATTATTATGGGGGCTTGTGGACTTAAACTGTTAGTTTCTTCCTCTGAATTTTTTAGAAATAACAAATTGATTCTTACACGTCAAAAGCAAGCACCTGTCTAGTGTACATGTGATCACCTTCAGCGCGTGAGTTGATTGGGCGGACGGTGCAGTCCCAGGAGCAGTATGTGCCGCGACAGCCGCAGCCCCAGCAGCAGAACGACGAGGACATGGACGTGGAGACCCGCCTGGTCACTATACACGCCACAGAGCTGACCCATGACGGAGAGGTGAAGAAGTACAGGTCGCCCAAGTCTTCAACTTTCAATGGCTTCAAACGTGAGTGAATGGATTTTGCTGAAATTGATGTTAAGTTGTAGCTCACCTTGTTGTGGTGGGTTTGAGCTGGGTGGGTGATTGCTATTTATCATATCTTGCTAATCTTACGAAAGTGTGTTGGAAAAATTTCTCTTGTTGGCTACTATGCTTGTCGTAAGAGGCAACTTACAGGATTGGGTAGCAGAGCTCCAGATAAGCTGCGTATCTGCGTGAAATACGCATCAGAAATACAGAAATACGCAGTAAAAAATAATCCAAGCGTATCAAATACGCAACGAACATTACAGATATGCTACAAAAACAGATTTTGTGCGTATCATCAAAATATTGTGAAGTAACCCTGCGTATTTGATTAGCAAATCAGCAACTTATTTTGAAATTATAAACGGGCATTCCGTCAACCTTGCCAAACTCCACGATGACAGTCACATCATGATCATTTGCCATCACACTTTCTTTTGGAAGTATCGTGGTATTTTTGAGTCCTATAAAGCTCTCAAACCCACACGACACCAGTTTGCAGGGACTAGATGAATAGTGTTTTTAAATATTTAACTTAAATACCCACATGTGTAAAAACTAGTGGGTAACAGAAATTTGAATACGCAGATAGAATTACTGATACCCAGTGATTTTAAAATGCATGGGTAAAATACCCACAACACCAAAAGCTTATCTGCAGCTCTGGGTAGTCAGGCTCACTGACTTGTTTGAAGCATGTCATCGTATCCCAATTGCGTAGATCGATGCTCATGATGTCAATCCCTGGATTGTCTGGTCCAGATGCAATTATTTACAGACAGCTGTCATCTAGCTGGAATATTGCTGAGTGTGGCGTTAAACAACAAACAAACAAGCAAACAAGCTTTTGGTGCTGCTACTACTTGTACTGACTTAAGGTTAAACACTTTACTAATCATTGTGTGTACTTCTCAATGTCACTCGGGGGCACAGGTGGCCCAGTCATCTAAGGCGCTGCGATTCGCTGTGCAGAGTTGCGTCCCTTAGGCACGCCAGAAACCTATGATTGTGGTTTCGAATCCTGGTTCGCCACGATTATGTTTCTAGGTTTGTCAGCACCATACCCGTGCTCATTGTTTTCACCCGAGACCTGCATCACTTCGGGCTTTCCTCCCACATAAGCTGACATGCCATGATATAACTGGAATAATGTTAAAAGCGGCTTTACACCCAATTCACTCTCACTCACTCACTCACTCACTCACTCTCAGTGTTCCTCCACAGGGTCCACAGAGATCTATTACCGCCATCTCACCGAGGACAGGTTCTGTGAGCGGCGGGCATGTGAAAAGGGATACGAGATGCTGTTGCAGAACAACATCGTCATCATCACCGGCGGGTGCGGCGACGGCAAGACGACGCTCGGATGCTACCTTCTCAAGAAAGTGTCCGAGGAATACGACATAGAAGCTGTGAGAATCAATTCCCCAAAGGATTGGATGAGAGTCTTGGAGTTTGATTACCAACATGGCGAGAAGATTGCCGTCATGCTTGATGATTGTTTCGGCAGCATCGGCATGGCTGATTACATGTTCGAAGAATGGCATCACAATGTTCAATATATGTCAAGTTTTCTCGAATCCAAAAAGGTTTATCTGATTATGACCTCCAAGAAGCACCTGTATTCACAAGGCGCTGGACGAGTTACGTACAACCAGGTGTTCCTGAAGAAATACATCCTGGATCTGACGACCGATGAATATAAGCTCACCTGGTGTGAGAAGAAGGAGGTCTTGAGGAAACACCTGGAGTATTACAATCTAGATGAGGACATCGCCACCAACCTCCCAGAAGATTGCCCGGACATGGGCTTCTGTCTACTCGTCCATCAGTTCTGTATTGTGGAAGATTTTCAAAATTGGGGGTTGCGTTTTTTCACAAATCCAATCATTTGGTATTCCTGTGATCTTGAGTCGATATCGGCCACGGAGAAGGAGATCTGGGGAGTGATGGTCCTGCTGCTGCTGGGTGACGGGATCATGAGACCGATGGACTACAACCCTTTCGGTGACGAGAAGACGATATACAAGCAGGCCAAGGAGCATCTAAAATACACGTCTCTCCAAGATGGCTTCCCTCCATCCAGGCTGGTTCATCTGTGTGAACACATCGACACCGTGTACGTGAAGTGGGACAAGAAGGAGAAAGGCTATCGCTTCATTGATCATTACATGGAAGAAGCGGCTATGATGTGTTTCGGGAAGTGGCATGTTCGAGAAGTCTTGAAGCGAAGCAGCCTCAGCTTTCTGCGCGAGTATATGGTGACAAATCGATACGAAGCGGAACGTCCCGAGAAGGACATCCTCATTGAACTGTCTCCTTCCTACTTCCCGTATCTCACGGAAAGACTCTTGAAGGAACTCGTGGACGGGAATATCGAACAGATCGTCTCCCACAGAGTATTTCTCGACGATTCGTACATTGAGTTTTTTGTGAAGCATCTCAAAGAGAAGGATGAGCTTGTGAAGGTTCTCCAGGCTAAAGACAAGAAGTGTCAGAGGGGGATTGTGTATCTGTGTACAATGTACGGACAAGAGAGGCTGATCCGAGAGATTGTGAAATCAGAAGTCTTCTCCAAGTTGGCTGATAAGCAGTGGGCCAAGGATGAGAAACAGGCGGCTGTCCAACTTGCCACAGAGTTTAAAGTATCTTCTTTACAAAACTTACTGAATCAGTTGTGAGTGTTGCATGGTTTTACCTGGACTTACAAAAGTAGGGGCCCAAGGACCCTCAATACAGTCGAACCCCTAAGTCTAACCTACCAGGACAGTGTTGTAACTTCGAGGTCTCCGAATTGAGATAACGAGGCATGAACATCAAGACAGATCAAGTTTTACGTTTCTTTGATGCGTAACGCCGCACTCAGCAATATTCCACCTGATGACAGCAGGACTGACCAAGTAACTGTGTGTGTGTGTGTGTGTGTGTGTGAGTGTAAGTGTGAGTGTGTGTGTATGTATGTATGTTAGTGTAGCAGGGCGTGGAGTCATCCCACAGATGACATCCTTACCTTGTCACCTTGTCAGCTTGCTGATGGGGTTAACCTCTTTGGTCATGTGGACAAGGCGTCCGACCTCTGATCAGAAGGTCCGTGGTTCGAATCCCATCACGGGACTCAGAAATTTTATGCCCGCTACATTGGCGCCCATCGTGGGGCTGAGCACATTCATATTAAATTTGAGCAAAATAAGCCTCAGTGCCCTACTATGCGGCCTGGGACGTGCCTTCTGTTAAACGGGGGAGTATGTAGCAGGGCATGGAGTCATCCCATAGATGACATCCTTACCTTGTCAGCTTGCTGACGGGGTTAACCTCTTTGGTCATGCGGACAAGGCGTCCGACCTCTGATCAAAAGGTCCGTGGTCCATGGTTCGAATCCCATCACGGGATGGCCACTACATTAGGCTTAAAAAAATAAATGAATTGGTTCTCAGGCAATGACTTTTAAAAAAATAGAGCGGGCGGGTGGGCTTTTTCTTTTCTTTTTTTTGCTTCTTCAAACTAGCATGTAACCAAATAAACTGTTGTGTACCATCTACCTGGGAAAGGGCCTCCCTGCATAAACAAGTATGTAAAACTCCTATTGCCGCCATGACCATAACACGAGATGCACAGTGCACATGGGAAGGGAAGTAACTGCATGTTATATTGGATCCCATTGTTTTTTTAAGGTATTAGGATTGTTTTATTTTTTTTCTAAAATGATGATGACGCAGGCCGTGACTGAGAACCAATACTATTTTTTTTAGCCTTCATTCATAGATTGGACATTGAGTAATGTAGCTTTAATTCCTTAATCCAACTTTGATTAGCAGTTTTTGATGAAACCAGGAAGTGCTGCCATGTTTTTCCTCATGTCTGCTCATGATGATTTATTTGTCAGTAAGGATTACCTCTACAACTGGATTGGTTCAACAAAGTTTTAATTGCACAGTACTTTTACAACGATGTTAGATGTGTGGACTAATGCGAATCTTGTCATAAAGGTAGACAAATCTATAGTGAAGTAGGGACCGAGTCCAAGGTATTTTTATCTCGAATTTGAGATAACGGGGCAGATATATGCGTATTTATATAGTGAGGCGGTAGGGACCGGAGAATAGGTTCGAGATATCAGTTGTTTCGAGGTCACGGGGTTTGAGATAATGGGGTTCGACTGTAATTAATTTTAAGGGTCCTTGCAGGCTTGGTTGGTTTGTTGTTTAACGCCGCACTCAGCAATATTCCAGCTGTATGACAGCTGTCTGTAAATAATCGAGTGTGGACCAGACAATCCAATGATTAATATGAGCATCGATCCACACAATTGGGATCGATGACATGCATCAACCAAGTCAGCGAGCCTGACCACCCGATCCCATTAGTCGCCTTTTACGACAAGCATAGTCACCCCTTGCAGGCAATATGAGGGTCCTGTAAAGTAATGTAATGGTGTAGTGTACTGTACATCTTGATAATTACTTTAGAACCTGGGACGAACCAATGATCATGTGGGCAGTGGTCATGATTGATGGGTGAATTAACAGACACCCATAACTGCTCTTAATGCATTGTAGGTACAATGTCAATTATCATGCATCTCTCGGGATTTAGTAGTTCTTTTTCTGCATCAATTCCGAACATTTGTACATACTGGATGCGGAAAACCCTGGTGTTGTCATTACTTTATTCAGGGATTTATCAAGACCTATGACGCAGAATTCAGCCCCAATTCTTCAGCAAATGTTCATTCCCAAATTGGAATTCAAATGTTCCCTGTTCATGTTCTCCTGATCGCCTCCGTGGTCTAGTGGTAGAGCATCCGCCCAGAGAGCAGAAGGTCCGGGGTTCGAACCCCGACCGCGTCATACCCATAGACGTTAAAAGATGGTACTTGTTGTTACCCTGTCTGGCGCTTGGCATTAAGGGGGTAAAACACAGACTGGTCGGCTCGGAGTCAGTATACTGTGTCTGAGTGGGGTATTCATGTTAAACTGCGGCATGGTATCTCAGTGAGCTAGCACTATAAATCGGTATCAGTCCAGACTAGTACAAGCAGCCATTCAAACCAACACACGTACATGCACGTCGCTATATAAGTGCAACAATCTTGGACGTGACGTTAAACCCCATTTCACCTCACCTCATCTTCTCCTACTTATAACTTACATCATGAGACATCGGTGACTTGTATTTGACAGACAACAGGACCAATTAAGAGACAGAGGTTTTAAGCTTAGTGTTCCATTGTTGCAGGGATCACATTGTTAAGTTAAAATACCTCTGAAGTGAAGGAATAAGAACATGAATAAAATCCTAGTTTTGAGTGGGTGAGTTGGGTTTAATGCCGCTTTTAACAGTATTCCGGTATATCACGGCATGTCAGCTTAATGTGGGAGGAAAGTGATGCAGATCTCAGACGTTTACTTCACCACTTTGGTGAAACCCACAAGCCATGTATGGTTTTTACAAACCTAGAAACATAATTGGGGCGAACCGGGATTCGAACCCACAATCATAGGTTTCTGGTGTGCCCAAGGGATGCAGCTCTGCACAGCGAATCGTGGCGCCTTAGACGACTGGGCCACCTGATGCAAGCATGTTTCCAAAAGAATTACATCTGCATATTCAGGAGTATGTATTATATTCTACTCAAAAGAAGTTAAAAAACACCCATTTTTTTCATTTGACTATAGTTAATCTGTTATGGATGTCCTTTATCTTCTTTTGAGTAGTATTTATGCAATCAAAAATATTACTGCTTGCACTCAACACTAAAAATATTGTAGTGAAGTATGCCAGTGAGTTCCATTATAACACTTCATTATTCACTGTATTGAGCACCATGTTCCAATAAGCAACTTATGACCAAAAATTGTTATAATCACCCCATACTTAGTCCAAAAATTTACATTACAGTCCATACTTTTTTGTGTATACAGTGTTACCTCGCTATAGCGCTAACTCGGTTATAGCATGCAGTAAAGCATGGCTCCCAAAATTTACAAACATAAACTCAAGTTTTCCAATGACATGATGTTTTCCCCCCATCTCAGAAAACATTATCAGCTGATCACCGCGAACACATAACACCGGAAATACCAGTCAACAAATCCGAACTGAAGTACGCAATTTAATCCTATTATTTTAATATCTGGTTATAAACAGATTGTTCATTGTTTATGTGGACTAATGTTTGCAATATGTTTTATTAATTATACTCAAAATTTCATTCAATAATTATAATAATGTTTACAATAATTTCGGCGAAATCATATGCGAAGTGATCGGTAGATCACACAACTAACCTTTATTTACAGCAACCACGGTCAGATTACCGCTATTGAATCGAACTTTTGTTGCAAGAGAATGGATACACATATCATAAATGCCATACCATGACTCGCTAAAAGTCATATTTGAGGCAGTTTGACTATTAAAGGTCAACATAACGTTTCCGCAAGCGAAATACATGTACTGCGGTACGTCTCTACGGTGACTGGTCAAATTGTTCCATAAAAACATATCCTGCATACCATATAACATATTCTTTTTTACAGAAAAGGGTATATTTTGCCATGTAACTATCACAGAGCTCCAGATAAGCTGCGTATCTGCGTAAAATACGCATCAGAAATGCAGAAATACGCAGTAAAATAAAATCAGAGCATATCAAATACGTAACGAACATTACAGATACACTAAAAAAATAAAACTTGTGCGTATCATCAAAATATTGTGAAGTAACCCTGAGTAGTTGATTAGCAAATCAGCAACTTATTTTTAAACTATATACGGGCATTCTGTCAACCTTGTATCATGGTATTTTTGAGTCCTATAAAGCTCTGGAACCCACACGACACCAGTTTGAAGGGACTAGATGAATAGTGTTTTTAAATTTTTAACATAAATACCCACATGTGTAAAAACTAGTGGGTAACAGAAATTTGAATACCAAGATAGAATTACTGATACCCAATGATTTTAAAATGCATGGGTAAAATACCCACAACACTTATCTGGCGCTCTGTATTATCAAAAAGGTTTTAGTTTCATTGATATTCGAAGCAAATTTGTTCACTAATGCTCCATGTTTAAAGACATTTTCAACTCATTGTTTATGATTTTAAAAGAGCACCCTTTGTCATGTTTTCTAAGCGCCAGGGGCACATTTTATGCTGATTACGGTACTTTGTAATAAAACGTGTTGAGTGCGTTTCTGGCTTAGTTTATGATGCATTAATTATTCAGTAATTTATTGACATTTAACATAAAATCATTATTGTCAGAGAGAGATAGGTTTGCTTCTGATCTGTTTTTATAAAAAAATCTAGTGTTGCATTTGTTAGGCTTAAAATAGAGCCTATAGACAAATATTAATGACTTTGAGTTATTTTTGTTGGTAAGACCATAAAAATACCATAAATTCCTTGCCTACATTATGTTTATGTATATATTTTTAAGTTTAAACTTATTGCATTAAAATGTTATAAAATTGACCTTTTTTCATCTTTTAGATGAATTTCTGTGTAAGCACATGTGAAGATTGAAGATGAAGCCATTACCATTTGAGTATGAGAATTCCTAGTGAGAGAGTGGATGTTTTATGCCACTCAGCAGTAAACCAGCTGAATCAAAGGCAGATAGTTGAATCTGGACCAGACAAACCAGTGATTGATATTATGAGCATCATCCCCTACTTTTGGGTCACAAGGACATTCAATCACAAGCCTGACTACCCTCGAAGGTCCGGGTTAGAATAGGTCTTCAGCAACCCATGTTGTTGACTAATGGGGTTGGGTGATCAGGCACACTGACTTGGTTGATACATGTCATATCCCAACTGCATAGATCGATGCTCATGATGTCAATCACTGGATTGTCTGGTCCAGATTCGATTATTTACAGACTGCTGTCATACAGCTGGAATATTGCTGAGTGCAGCATTAACCAACAAACAACAAAACCAAGCCTGACAACACAATCCATTTTGTCACTTCATGCTACAACCGTTAAGGACCTATTTTAACCCAGAATTCCCACTGCTGCTGGGCCAGGAAAACCAGTGATTGATAGCATGAGCAACGAACCACACTTTGCAACCCCCAATCTTCATTCAGGGTTTCTAGGTGACATCTGGAGTTGAGAAGTGGTCCCCAGCAATATATACTGCGGGTAAAAAATGTAAAAGTGATGTTTTAAAAGTTTTGTTTCTTTGTTTGTTGTTTCACGCCGCACTCAGCAATATTCCAGCTATATGTTGGCGGTCTGTAAATAATCGAGTCTGGACCAGACAATCCAGTGATTGATATCAGGAGCATCGATCCACGCAATTGGGATTGATGACATGCATCAACCAGGTCAGCGAGCCTGACCACCCGATCCCGTTAGTCGCCTCTTACGACAAGCGTAGTCGCCTTTTACGGCAAGCATGAGTTGCTGAAGACCTATTCTAACCCGGATCTTCACAGGTAGGTTTTCTAGGTGACATCTCACTTATCCTCACGGACACCTGGAGCTGAGAATTGGTCCGCAGCAATTAATACTGTTGGTAAGTGGTAAAAAATGGATTGAATGATCAGGCTGAGTGACACGATGTGAGACATCTGACCCTGATGGATCTTGTTCACAACATGTCACTGGATTGTCTGGGCCAGACTATTATTTACCATCTTCCCGAGGCAGGTGAGTTAACTGACTATAAAAGTCCAGTTTCCAACCTTGCCGAACTAGGCTGGTATTATTGAGTTACATTTTGGCTGGACTAACGAGTCTCTGCATAGTCCAATCAAAATCGCGCACAGAAATCGAAATCCGGTTCGTAGAGTGTCATGCAGATTTTCGGTCGACTGCAGGATTTGCAAAGCATGTGCACCGCTAACTCGTTATCAACAGATATTTTCTAAATCTTTTCATGTTTTTAATCAAGGTGCTCACGTGATTTGATGCACTTCGCGATGTAAGACTCGTTTTATCACAATATAGATCTTGATTATCGATCAGATCGTCTTGTTTTGGCGCCACCGTTTTGTTTGAAGCAAATGCAAGTGATATGAGAGGTTGAATCTGATTGGTCCATAAGAGAGGCATAGAAAGGACATAACTCGTAATAGCCACTGGTGGCGCTACGATCGAGCCCAGGAATTCCAGCCAAGTTCGGCAAGGGTGGAAACTGGACTTTTAAAGTCAGTTCACTCTCTTGCCTCGGGAAAATGATTATTTACAGGTGGTAGTCATAAAGCTGCAATATTGTCAAACAACAAACAAAATACATGGGTTGGTGTATTGCATACAGCAGACAAACTATTATGGTATTATAAAAATATTTATTTACACAACAGATGTCCTAAAGATCATCACAAATCATCACTGCTTTATACTGGTTATAAAACAAATAACATGCAATAAAATGTATTCCTCAAATATTCAAATTACTACATTCTCAAAATGTAAGGCAATGGATTTTAAAATTGACGTTGCCAAATGTCCAGTGCAGAATTTATTACAAGTCTCGTGAGCTTATAATTGAGTTTCTACTATGAAGGACACACGAGAGGACAGAATGGCTCTGGTCAAACACAGGGTCTGCCTCCCCCCCATTGACCAGCTGGTAACTGAGAGAAAGGAAAGGGGTGTCCCTAGAGTCCCGGTCGGGGAATGTCCCTAGAGTCCTGGCCGGGGAATGTCCCTAACGTCCTGGCCAGGGAATGTCCCTAGAGTCCTGGCCGGGGAATGTCCCTAGAGTCCTGGCCAGGGAATGTCCCTAGAGTCCTGGCCGGGGAATGTCCCTAGAGTCCTGGCCGGGGAATGTCCCTAACGTCCTGGCCAGGGAATGTCCCTAGAGTCCTGGCCAGGGAATGTCCCTAGAGTCCTGGCCAGGGAATGTCCCTAGAGTCCTGGCCAGGGAATGTCCCTAGAGTCCTGGCCGGGGAATGTCCCTAACGTCCTGGCCAGGGAATGTCCCTAGAGTCCTGGCCGGGGAATGTCCCTAGAGTCCTGGCCGGGGAATGTCCCTAGAGTCCTGGCCGGGGAATGTCCCTAACGTCCTGGCCAGGGAATGTCCCTAGAGTCCTGGCCGGGGAATGTCCCTAGAGTCCTGGCCGGGGAATGTCCCTAGTGTCCTGGCCGGGGAATGTCCCTAGAGTCCTGGCCGGGGAATGTCCCTAGAGTCCTGGCCAGGGAATGTCCCTAGAGTCCTGGTCGGGGAAGGTCTGAGACGATCAGTGCTGTAAGTGCAGGACTCGGGTTGTCATTGACATACTTTTGGATGAAGGTGCAAGTTGGTGACATTCTGATGTTTTTCTCCAAGAAGTGCTCCAAGGCTGCCTGCAACAAAAAATTGAAAATAGCATAAAACAGATGATAAAAAAAGGACATGTGAAATCGTCCCCCAAACGAAAAAATCTGCCGCTGCAGGAATGCCCTTACCGGGGTTAAAATGGGTTCACGATTTTTGACACGCTGCGCAGTTTTAACGATCATGACAATTGGGCCGATGCCCAGTCTGCCTGATTCTGCCTCGGATTTTGTAATACACAACGTCTTTTTTTCTGTCTGCCCATCCATTTGATTACCATGTCCAGTTGTCCACAACTTATATCTCCTTGGTGGACCAGCTGGTGTTTTATTACCCAAACAGACCGCCTCGGTGGTCTAGTGGTAGAGCGTCCGCCCGGAGAGCGGAAGGCCTGGGGTTCAATCCCCGGCCGCGTCATACCAAAAGACGTTAAAAGATGGTACTTGTTGTTACCCTGTCTGGCGCTCGGCATTAAGGGGCTAAAACAAAGACTGGTCGGCTCGGAGTCAGTATACTGTGTCTGAGTAGGGTATTCATGTTAAACTGCGGCATGGTATCTCAGTGAGCTAGCACTATAAATCGGCATCAGTCCGGACTAGTACAAGCAGCCACACAAACACACACCCATGCATGCACGTCGCTATATAAGTGCAATAATCTTGGACGCAACGTTCGACCCAATTTCACCTCACCTATTACCCAAACAGGATGTTAGATATAAAATGCTTGTCATCGATTGTTATTTGTTATCTTAATTGTTCACAATGTCAAGATCAAGCGTCGTTTCACACATTCAACAATGTATGCATTGTTGATATTTTTGTAAGATTAAGAGAAATAGCCAAAAAGTATATATATATAACGGCTAAGGATCACAAGATAGATAAACACGGCAAACGTGACAGCCAATGAAAACAGTTGTCCCCACTGTGGCGCCCCTAAAAGGTTTGTTTTTCAAGCTGATTATGGAACGAGTGATTTCATCACTTTCACTTGTACATACTTTCAACGAATAAAATAATTTTCTCTTTCGGAAATTGACTAAATATATCAAGGAATATATATATTTGTATAACAGCAGTGAGTGAGTGAGTTGGGTTTAATGCCGCTTTTAACAGTATTCCAGTTATATCACGGCGTGTCAGCTTAATGTGGGAGCAAAGCCCGAAGTGATGCAGGCCATAGACGTTTACCACTTCAGTGAAACCCATGAGCACGGGTATGGTGCTGACAAACCTAGAAACATAATTGGGACGAACCAGGATTTGAACCCACAATCAGAGGTTTCTGGTGTGCCAAATGGACGCATCTCTGCACAGCGAATTGCGGCACCAAAGACGACTGAGCCCCCCGGACCCCCTGTAAAACAGTATACACAGTTATATCCCAAATTTAACATTTAACTTATTTCAACAATTTTGGATAACTGATCTCATAACATATTTATATTATTATAATCTTAAACTTAACCTTTCATGTAAATTAAGGTGCTTCATTCAAAATAAAAAGGGCTGTTAAGCATCTTATCTAAACAATCTGTCCGAAATATTTATGTGTGGATCGTCTCCAAAGTGTAGTGGATACACTCATACAGGGTCTGCTTGGACAGCGTAATATTAATGTCTCAAAAGACAATGACTGGCCACTCAGATAGTTAGATCCATGATGAGTACTGGTGTAACGATATGGCAATACAATATTGTGTCACGATACAAGGCCCACATAACAATACATCGAATTACGACCCCTGTTATACATACGAATGATATGATACATTTCATACAAAGTTATATTGGTGCAAAAACATGAGAATAACAGAAACTGACCTACAATATGACATCTTTGATTTCTGTAATTTACTGGGGCAGTGGGGTAGCCTTGTGGTTAAAGCATTTGCTTGTCATGCCAAACACCCGGGTTCGATTCCTTGCATGTGTACAATGTGCGAAGCCCATTTCTGGTGTCTCCAGCTGTGATATTGCTGGAATATTGCTAAAAGCGGCGTAAAACCACATTCATTCACTTACTCACTGAAATTTAATAACTAATTATTCAAGGGCTGTGATTCACCATGATTCACCTGCAAGAAGAAAGAATACAAACTTGTGAAATAAAAGCGCTGTATCCTTTTCGCTCCTATAGTATCAGGATATGTATCGTATCCCGACTCCGCTGTATCCTTACACCTCTGAAGGACCTGTGAAGAGCCGGGGTAGAATAGCTCTTCAGCAACCCATGCTTGCCGTCAAAGGCGACTATGCTTGTCGTAATAGGCGACTAAAGGGTGGTCAGGCTTGCTGACTTGGTTGATGCGTATCATCGATCCCAATTGTGTGGATCGATTCAAATGATATCAATCACTGGATTGTCTGGTCCAGACTCGATTATTTACAGGCCGCCTTCACATAGCTGGAATATTACTGAGTGCAGCGTGAAATAACAAACCAACCATCCAACCAACACCTCTAAAGATGAGTCATGATGACATAGATTGTGTCTGGTAGCACTCTGCCATTATATGGATGTACCTTCGCCAATAGTTTGCCGACCCCTCTTCCCCTGAAGACTGGGGGTACCTCAGTGTGGTAGAGGTCGACGTGGTCCTCGGTCAGCCAATCATACTGAAGCACAGCCTTCTCTCCGGAGGCCCCTGGAAACAGAGAATGTATCTTCAAGTGGAGTCGACAACCATCTCACTGGTGATAGCTGAAACTTATTGCGTCAAAACAGCACCAATAATTTCACTAAGTTAGCAAAGTTCCAAAAGATGAATCAAGTCTTGTCGAAAACTGCACCATACTTGGTCCAGCAGTTAAATTGACCCCTCAGTACACTACTGTGAGGCCCGGGACGTGCCTTCTGTTGACGGGAGTATGTAGCAGAGCGTAGAGTCGTCCCACAGATGACATCCTTACCTTGACACCTTGCTGACAGGGTTAACCTCTTTGGTCATGTGGACAAGCGTCCTACCTGGGATCAGAAGTTACAAGTCCCTTTGGGGGAAATGACTGGTACCAAACGGAATTTGGATGAGGACCAAGAATTTCCAACAGGTTTTTGAGGGTGCAGGCTAAAACGGCACCTCAGCAAAAACGGCTATTATGTGACGGGCGAAAACGGCACCTCTATTTTTATGAACGATTTATGTAGTAGTATATCTGATTTATGTTATTTGTTACATATTATTTGATGTATTTACATGTTATTTCCTGTTTTCCACCTTTTTACAGATACATGTAACTACATACATTCACATATATATACAGTTCTTCAGTTTTCATCTTCATCACAGTTTACAATATCGGCCCATGTACCACCGAGCATTGTGGTAGTAGCTGACTCAGGGGGCTTATTTCTAATGTAAACTTGTTTTAACTTTCCAATTATTGATGTTTGTAAGAGACGATGTGAGTTTAATTTCATTTGTTTTACTTCAAGGCATGTTGTTTTCACAATAAGTTGAGTTGTGGATAAGTTAATTTGGAATATAGTTGGAGTAGAGGATAATTTCTAATGTAAACTTGTTTTAACATTTCACAATTATTGGTGTTTGCAAGCGACCATGTAAGTTTAATTTATTTTACCAAGGTAAAAAAAATAAGGGTGCCGATTTCCCCAGGCAATAGTAGCCGTTTTCGCTTGAGGCGAGGTGCCGTTTTCGCCAATCGGTGCCGTTTTCGCCAGGTGACGTTTTGCTGAGGTGCCGTTTTAGCGTTTTAGCTATAACCCGGTTTGTGATCATGATAGGCCTAACAGTGGTTTTGCAAGAAACAAAAGGTTTTAGGACATTTTCGTGAGTTGTATGGATTTCAAATTTGAAGATATATTTAGGCAGTTTGGATAACAATCAGTCAATGTCCTTCAATGAACCGAAACCCCTATGTATCATTCGCTGACGTTTAGCTTAGTAGTGCGGAGTGAGAAATTGATCAGTTGTCAGTTGATGAAATTCACGTACCGGCACTGGCGTCACACCTTGTTTTGACAGTCACGTTAAATTCCTTTTCACTGACATTATGCAGTACGTCAGAAATTTCCAAAGTATGTGTTTTGTCCATTGTCCTTCTTCATGTATCGACATATGTCGATAGATCTGCTGTCATGAATATATATATATTCAGGCTTGCGAGCACTAGTCGTTTTAAAGACATTAGAGTTACTCGCCCTTGGAACATGCTAAAAATCGACTTTTATAAAACGAATAAAGGAATAGTTCGTTTAATCCACAAGTTTGAAACATAAACGAAAAACAATTACTTGATTAGTTAATCAAATGCAAGAGAATCACTTGATATTTATTTATAAAGAAATACCAAACCTTTAAAAACTCAACATGGCTGGGATTTATTCAATGACATTTCACATAAATGAATCATTTAATTCCTTTTATGAATTTACAGGAACATTTTCATGTATTAGTTCATAATGATCGGCCAAATAATCTCTGGTGACCAAACTATAAGATCGCTTGATGTCAAAAGGATCTCCAAAAGACTCTAGGGTATGTTGGTTTTTACTGAGAAAGTTGGGCGGTATTTTATTTGAATATATAACAAGAATAACATTAGGAATTTTACCTGTTTACCGATGCATATCTTTAAGAATGCTCTGGTTCGATTAACTTCCCAAGGTAGGGTTAAGTTGATTGTGAAGTTAATTTATTCGCTTCGGACCGGTAGTTTCACACATTACTTGCCCCCCAAAAACATGTTTGGTGCTTGATGGTGTGTTGATGCTAGGTGTAATTTGAACGTGAATGTTTTTGAAAATGAATTGTTGATGCCATGAATATGGATGTCAGCATGGTGATAGTAATAAAATAAACGAATTGTTAGAAATATGAAATAGGGTTACAGAGTTTCTTATTTTTAGGGTTACAAAATTTGCTCGTTTAGGTTACGAAATTTGATACACCCTTTATATTTCAAGGCCTAGATTTTCGAAACGACCTTGACCCTAAGATTATATCGAAAAATTATCCGTATAGAAATCGTTGAATGTCATAAAGCCTATTTCAACACCACAAAGTTAACGAACACGTCACAAAAACAAAATATTTTTGAAAAGTTCCGCATACACCGATGAAACAATGCCCTGTGACGTCAGCCTAGCAACAGGGTTGCTGGGGCCATCGGGTCTACAAAAGCTCCCCTCAGTGATCTATCATCTCTACCCGCGATGTCATTGTATAAGCCCAGCGATGTTGAGAGTTTTCAATATTTGCTTACTATAACTATAGCCTGCGGCGCATTAAGAGCAAACGCTTATTCATGAAAGCATTTTTATTTGCAATATCTATATTTTTTGGTTTGAACTTAGTTCATGGGAATGAAGGGATTATCAATCGAAACTATTAAATACACACATTATTTTTTCGATTCAGTAATTTTTATTAGATGCTCAGGGATGCAATTCATTAAATATGTATTTATTGACGCTGCACACATCTAAACGTCACCGCTCCGAACACTATCTACCGTGGGACATATTTTGTAATAAATCAATTAGTTTTGCACTCAATCTCATTAAAATCAGATCTGGGTTCTCGCTGCCGCTAAACAAAGATCTGAGGACATCCCATTACGGGTCACGTCAGAACGACCTTTCGCGAACTTTGACCGACCACTGAAATGACCAACAAGAAGTCGACATCAGCCAATTAGAAAGCAGCTTTCTCGAGCTTTACGGCACTCGTTTCAATCTGGTGACTTCCATTTCAGATTACGCTTGAAAAATATGTTGACACAGTTCTCGATTAAAGTTTTCAAAACTGAACAAACGAATATTCCGGAATGTCTAATATATGGTTGAGATTGTATAGCAATGCTATCCACATACTGTTCAACGCCTCCTCCGTTAAAATGTTTATCCCACTGAAGCGAGAGATAGACGATAATTTTGACGAATCAGTCGTACGGGTCGTAACTGTCGTTCGGAATACCCCGTGTTGACGTTTTCGAGGTTGCATGATTAGAAAACACATTCTGACTGTCACTTCCATGATCTGGTAAGCGACGCTCTGATTGGTCGGTTGAAAGGTCGTTCTGACGTGACCCGTAATGGGATGTCCTCAGATCTTTGTTAAGCGATAGCCAGATCTGATTTTAATGAGATTGTTTTGCACTAGTAGGGTCCGGCTTGTAATGGCAACGAGGGGTAAGATATGCAGGGGGTCTACAAGGAAAGCCTGGTTCCCTGGGTATGCTGCTACAAGGGTTGTACCTGGCGGTGTGGTCGTGGACGGTGTCGTGGTCGGGTCTAGTGAATGGAGCGTCTGCCCGGAGGGGGGAAGGTCGATGGTTTGATCTCCAGAAGCGCCAGAACAAAATACGTTAATATATGGTACTTATTGTTTCACTGGCTGATGCTCGGTAGTGAGGGCTAAAACAAGAACTGGTCGGTTCGGAATCCGTGTACGGTGTCTGAGTGGGGTATGCATTGTTAAACTGCGGCATCGGCATCCCCCCCCCCCCCCCCCCCCCCCCGCCCCTCTCTCTCTCTCTCTCTCGTGACTAAACAACAACAAGAGTCTAGCTTTGACAGTTCATGTAATAGAATCAATGCTGCACTGTGTCGATTAACTCATCGATTTCAATACCAATGATAAATATCGTTCCACTACCATGGACATGTTGAAATGTCCTATCAGAAATGAAGAAAAGAAGAAGACTGTTTCTGTTAAAATAACGTATGCAACCAATTTTATGAGATGCTGTTGATTCTGAAATGTGTCCTTGTTATCGTTAACCAAGGGAAGCGAGATTCGTGACGCCTGACATGTCAAGATAGTATTACATGTCGTACCTCTCTTCCCTGGTTTTAGCAATATGGCTGTGGGGGACTCTAGTGCCAGGTTACCAGGAGTGAGTGAGTGAGTATGGTTTTACGCCGCTTTTAGCAATATCCCAGCAATATCACGACGGAGGACACCAGAAATGGGCTTCACACATTGTACCCGTGTCGGGAATCGAACCCGGGTCTTCGGCGTGACGAGCGAATGCTTTAACCACTAGGCTACCCGACCGCCCCAGGATACCAGCAAAGAGAATACCCCATACCCGCAGTTCCCTAATATACATTATTCCTAAGTACATGTAATTCATTAACCCCTTCAACACCTCATCTTAGCTCCGGAAACATAACTCTGACGATCGATTAAATAAGAATGACGCCAGATACTATTATGCAATAATATTTAATGAACGTGGATTGAGAGAAATATAGGGTAGATTCCCACTTCTGGATCTTTCACCGGACGTGTATTCTACAAGAGTTGCCATCCCCAGATCACTGACATCACAGTCCTCAGCTAGCGTGAGTATGTCAGTATTTACAATGCACGTGGGAAATATGGGTTAGAAAATTGATTGTTTGTTTGTGTGTCTTTCGATTTGTTTGTTTGTTTGTTTGTTTGTTGTTAAACGCCGTACTCGGCAATATGACGGCGGTCTGTAAATATATGAGTCTGGACCTGAAAATCCAGTGATTGACATCATGACATGCATCAACCAAGTCAGCAAGCCTGACCACCCGATCCCGCTAGTCGCCTTTTACGACATGCACAGTCGCCTGTTACGGCAAACATGGGTTGCTTGAGATCTACTCTACCCCGGATCTTCACGGATCCACGAATAGTACACACAGTTTAAAGTGAGTGAGTGAGTATGGTTTTACGCCGCTTTTAGCAGTATTCCAGCAATATCACGGCGGGGGTCACCAGAAATGGGCTTCACACATTGTACCCATGTCGGGAATCGAACCCGGGTCTTCGGCGTGACGAGCGAACGCTTTAACCACTAGGCTACCCGACCGCCCCCAAAGTTTAAAGGAGTTCATTACAATAACGTCAGTAAGAAATGTCATATTAACCATGTCTTGAGATGTATAGAACCATTTCCTCATATCTCCCAACCTCATAGTTGTTACAACTGCTAAGTACAAACAATGTGATATATACACTTCAAAAAACGAAACGCAATACGGACATTTTTGGCCATAAAAGCAAAATTAGCGGACCAAGATGTACATAATGAAGAGGTTTAATGCGTTATAAAAACACACCCAGTGCATAAACAAAAGGGCCATGGAGCACTATGAATGGTATTAAAGTGCGGGGTTTTTGATTGCCTGGCATCTGCGTGAACCGAACAGTGACAGTTCAACAACAAGCCAAGATTAACAGAAGTGCAACGAAACAACACCATAGGCCGCATGCAGGCAGTTGAATCCCCGATCAGTTGTAGCCAGGGTTTTCAATGTAGCGCCCAGCACCATCACAAGGCTATGGGATCGGTTTCAACAGCATGGGTCAACACGACCAAGAGTAACCACCCCCGTCCAAGATCGCTACATCCGACTGCGCCACCTACGTGAAAGGACGACCACAGCCACCTCAAACGCATCCCAAATACCCGGACTACGCAGAATCTCCGACCAGATCGTACGAAACCGTTTAAGAGCAGCAGATCTACGAGCAAGACGTCCTGTTCAACGCGTAATATTGAGTCGACAACATCGTCAACAACGACTGCATTGGTGTCGTCAACACAGGGTATGGCCTCAACTGCGATGGAGAGATGTCTGGTTCAGCGACGAATCAAGATTTCTCCTCCGTCGAGGGGATGGAAGAGCACGGGTCTACAGACGTCGGGGAGAACGTTACGCCGGAAACTGCGTACAAGAAGTGGACAGGTTTGGTGGGGGTAGCGTTATGATGTGGGCGGATATCTCTCATTATGGCAGGACAGGTTTGGTCCATATCCAGGTCAGTCTTACGGCTCAACGATACATCAACGAAATTCTCCAACCATACGTCCTCACAATTGCAGCAAACGGCAACGGTGTATTCCAGCAGGACAACGCTCATCCGCCGACGTCAACCACAACCCCAGACGTTGCAGCAGTTGGCTTTTGCGTTGCAGGCCGAATGGGCTACCATTCCCCATGATGTGATTCGCATACTCGTCTCTTCCATGTACAGGAGATATCAGGGCGCTATCGATTCCAACGGGGGACACATGCGTTATAGATGGTTGATGACCTTCACCTTGGACTTTTCCTATCTACCGATAACTGAGATGACTACAATCACCAAGTGTTCTCTCCACAACATTTTGGCTCAATACCTTGTACGGTTCCTCGTACAAATGTACTTTCATACCTCACACA